ATATGGGGAAATTTCCTTCGGGTTGTGACCAATTCAGGGTGCGACCAGAGTCATGGAACGAATTAAGTTCGTAAACCGAGGTTCCACTGTACTGTCATCTCCACTAGCTTTGTTGTTAGTAATGCTTCCTAAGGCCCACTTGACTTCACTCTCTAGGATGTCGGGCTCAAGGTCAGTGACCACACCAGCATGGACATCAGGGACATTAAGATCTTTCTTTCTTGTATAGTTCTTCTGTGTATTCTTGCCACCTCTTCTTAATCTCTTCTGCTTCTGCAAGTGTGGTATTTAAGAATTATATGTGGTAAAACAAAAAGAGGTTAGAAATTCATTAGTGCTGAATATATGTGGATTGAAAACCAATACAAAATACAAGTATTTTGAGGGGGTTTCATCATGTAGAGAGAATGAAGGATTGAATTGCAAAACAAATATCTGAATGAAGAATGAAAAGGTTAAGAGGAAGGAGTGGACTAAGAAAGTTGTAACTGAATGGAGTTGATGAGGTTCTCAAAAAGAAAGGTAAGTTTAAAGAACAAAAGGCAGTGTATGAATGGGTGTATGATCCTGGTAGAAGGATGGTTTGCAACATTTGAATGGTGTGGAGAGGTATACTGAATATAGATTTAGCTATATTTCTTTTAACTATCTTTTTATGCCAAATAAATAACAAAAGATAGAGCCTGAGGCTAAGGAGGGCAAGGATTGGATGAAGCTACTTCCAACAAGCTATGAGAAGATATGGAGTCCTTTGCATATAAAAGAAGAAACTGTTGATACTGTATTTCAGTACTTCTTACTTTTGAGATGGACACTGGTATGATTGTAAAGGAAATTATATCAGTATATAACCCTATCAGGATTAACTTCTGAAGAATATTAGTTTGATCCTTCAGGAGCTGGCTGTAGGATTTTTTAAATTAAAACTTCCACTGTGATTCAGGCAATGACAATATTAGAGGCTTGGAAGCTTTCTCTTTTCAAGGTCATCTTATTTAATGCTTTGGAATAATCAGAGTTTTGTTCACTTCATGGTTAATTAACCTGACTTTACATCTGTTCTTTAGGTTAGGCAGCAATATTCTAGTAACTAAACCACAAAACAAACATTTTGGCTAAAATTTTTAAAAGTCCTGAAATTTACTCATTTTGAATAACAATAATAGAATGGATGGAAATTTTAAATTAAAACTCTATAGCCATTAAAATTTTTAG